TTTTAGAAACACACTATAAACAAACTGCTTCCTGAAGACAAAAAAGAGGATGACATGTTGTATGGGTGCCCTTTTATACCTCCAGTCATGCCTGTATTATGCCACTAACTGTTGCCAGCCAATGTCATTGTCATGTTTGGATACATGCTTCAGACACCGATCACGCCAAATAGTATCCACTAGAGGATGCATTGAGAGTTCCCATTTGAAGGAGAACCACAGATGTGGTAAACCATGTACTTCAGACACCAACAGGGTTCCCATGGGTCCTTAAAAAGTCTTAAATTGTACAAGAAAGTCTTAATTATGATTTCAGGAGGTCTTAAATTTGGGGACGGAAAGACCAGAATTGCGATATGGCTTAATGTTACGATTAAACTTCAAAAGGCGATGATTTCATAAAATAAACATGAGCAGTACGCGTTTCAAAATCCGGTGCTGTGCTGCTTTGTTTACAGCTGTTACCGGGGAAACAGTTCTATTTTTGCCGTTCCAAAAGCGCCTCCTGCTGGCAGAGAATCAATGTGCATTTTCAATAAGCCTGTTTTATTGGAGTAGAGTATTCCTGCAATACCGGAGGCTGCAGTTTCAGGACCGCATATTTAGGGCCCTATAGTTTTTTTTTTGTTATTATTTTATTATTTATTTTTGTATGTACAGTATGTATTAGCAGCTCATACTATTTTATAGCACTTGCTATTCAGTTCTGTATACACTAGTCTAAAAACTATGTTTTTACCCTGCAAACACACAGAGCTGTAAATGTAAACTGGTGGATCGATAAGAAGATAATGCATTAAAAAAATCTAAACAGTAAAATGTATTTATATGTTATTTCATTAATATAATAATTGATTGATAATTATTGTTTAAATTAATATAATTAATACTTTTGACTCCAAAAATCCAAAAATTTTAAAGGCTGAAAAGTCAAGTCAAGTCAAGTCACCTTTATTTATATAGCGCTTTTAACAATACAGATTGTGTCAAAGCAACTGTACAGCATTAATTAGGAAAATAGAGTGTCAATAATGCAAAATGACAATAGTAAACACTCAATTTTCAGTTAAAGGCAGTTAATCATTGAATTCAGTGATGTCATCATCCAGCTCTGTTCAGTTTGAAAAAAGTGAAGTGTGTCATTTTATAAAACTTTTTGTTTTTGTGAAAACTTGTATCTGAACTGTAAATCATGCTTTTTACAGTCATTTTACAGTTTAATATGTTACTATAGACATTGCCCTACCCCGCTCATATGGTATTTATTTTATTTGTGCAGGTCTTAAAAAGTATTACATTTGAGCTTAAAGGTCCCCTGAAATAAATGCGAATTTTGTCACTGTTTTGGAGCACACTGCCTTATAGATAACCTTAAGACTAACATATTGATACTAACACCCAAAAAACTTTCATTTTGATTTCATGGGGACTTTAAAAATCCTGCAGCAACCCTGACCAAGTTTTTATTGCTATCACTGTCACAAAGCAATGCACATAGTGTAGTGTATTGCACAGAAAGAATACTGAACTAAATTTGGAGCTACACTTCTGGCACTAGAACCAACACTGAATCGACTTGAGCTGAATAATGTCACTATTTCCTTTTTAGAGCTGCCTACAGAAGATTTTGAATTGTCTCAATAACTGAGTCTCCATAATTGATTCTGCTGTTTTCCTGTTTACTACTGTGAAGCTGCTTTGAAATCTGTATCCTAAAAAGTGCTACAGAAATAAAAGTGATAACTTTTGTTGACTAGATACCTCAACAATAGTAATACATAGGGTTTGGCAATACGGTGTTATACTGTGCAAAGTTCTAAACAACAGGGCAATGACATAAAGTGTATATTGCAAGTATGTACACTGTATTCAGCAAGTATTCAAGACACCTTCGTTGTTTTAACATGTTGTTATGTTGCAGCCTTATGCTAAAATGCTTGAAATTATTTTTGTACACATCACATCTACGGTCCATACCCCATAATGACAAGGCAAAAAAAAACAAAACAGAATTGTTATAACTTTGCAATAAAAATAAAAACTAAATTATCACATTGACATTTGCTATGACACATGGAATTTAGCTCAGGTGAATACCTGTCTAATAGCCCCTCCCCCTACGCTACGTAATTAAAGCTGCGACAATTGAGTGCATAAAGTGTCCAACATTCCACACTGGAACCGTTTTTTTTCGTTTATTTAAGTGCATCATCCGGGTATTTAAAGTGCAACTTTTTCTTTTTGGAATTTTCAATGTGAACGCACTACTCACACTATTTATATTACAAAACGTCATAGAATAGTGCATAAGTACGCGATTTTGGACGCACCAATGGTCTCTCTTTATTGGAGTGTGCACTTCACTTTCATGGGATGTTGTTGTCTTGCAGAGACCAGCAACAGCTGCTTTTTGACTTTGGTGTTGGAGATCTTGCTGTAGCTCCTTGACAAGGTCGAATAATTCCATCTAAATCATGGACTCCCATGTCACTTCTAACACCAAAGGGCTTTTCGTCAAGTGCTTAATCCTTGTTGTTCTAAACAAGGGTTTTTCCAAACTCGGTCCTGGGGGGCCGGTGTCCTGCAGAGTTTAAGCTCCAACTTGCCTCAACAAACCTGCCTGGAAGTTTCTAGTATGCCTAATAGTGGTGTAACGGTTCACAGAAGTCATGATTCGGTACGTACCTCGGTTTTGTGGTCACGGTTTGATATGAGTTCTGTACAACTGGAAATGTTTTATTTTTATTTATTTGAACAGACAGTAATGGCAGACGTACTGAATGAAAATGACAGCAGGTAGCGTTTATGGAACAGCAGTGATACAGCATTTCCTTGGGCATTATATGGAGGAAAAGAAAAGAGGAAAAGAAAATGCCATCGAAACATTTCTGGAGAAGGTCAGTTCCTCTCAGAGATACATTCATATAAACCCCTTACATATTTGTCTTCCTGTATTTCAAGCATCACAATCAGTGAGCTTGATCTGCCAGGTACAGTACTTTCTCCTCTTTACAGACTTCATAAAAATTCCACACAAATTACATTTTGGGAAATGATGGCAATGCAGTTTGTGTGCAATTCTGGAATAGAGATCGGCCAAAATGTTTTTGCTTTGTTTACAGAGCCTACGGCAGGTATGATAATTCAATACACCATTCCATGAAGAAAAAAAAACACCAATACAATAGTAGGCATTCTTTGCATCTATGATCCATTTAAGTGCAATGTCACATTTTGTTTAATCTTTAGAGTAAGTGATTTTAAAAAAAGTACTCAAAATTACCCCATTGCTTGACAGATATCACTGGATTAAGTGTACTTTACTAATGTCACGGTACAAATTCAAACAAGCAGACGGTTCTTCGAGCTCTTGCGTGGTGTCTGAACTCGCCATTCTTGTTTTGGATTGTTGTGTAGATCGTCTCTTCTTATGCTCTGTCCTGTTGTGACGGTTAGCCTTGCATTACCACAAGCTCCCCCTTCTGGATTGATTGCCTATGACTGACTGTATTCGTTGTCTGACTGGATGAACCGAACCGTGACATCCATACCGTGACGGTTCGGGACGAATACATGTACCGTTACACCTCTAATGCCTAGTAAGACCTTAATTAGTTGGTTCATGAGTGTTTAATTAGTTATGGAGATAAACTCTGCAGGACACCCCTGTTCTAAACTCACCGTAAAGGAACATTTTAAACCTGTAATTTAGAAGCGGGGTTAGCACCACTTTTTACCTGGGGTTATGAAACCCTGCTCCGGAGCAAGGTTAGCAATGTTAACCCTTCATTGCTGTGCCATACTTGTACAGTGTGGAACAGTGCAGTGTTTGAATGTTACGGCTAGATCCATAAACAGTTATTTTAGTGTTTAAGGGGGGAAATGTCTAACGGTGACAGGAAACATGTAAATTGGATTGTTTTATTCTTACCGTTATAGTCCAAAAAGTCTATTCAGGGGGAAAAAAAACTTGATAGTACAGAGCAATGTAGACTATAATCTGAGGATGAACAGTGCCAGACCCTTCACGTAAACAGGTCTCATGCTGCATTTGTCCAATCAAGGAAACAGCAAATATGCAAATAAGAACATTACCTCAGGGTTTAGGAATGTACAGTGTGAAACGTCAACTTATGAATACCCTGGGTAAAGTATGAGCAGACATGAAACAAGTAAACTCAGTATTCAATTAACCTGGAACTATTTCAAGGGCGAAACAAATACTGAAAAATCATTCACTTTAAATAATTAATTATTTGAGATGACAGAATAACTTCTAAATGGTTTATTACCTTTACTGAAGCTTGTTACAACAGTGAGAAAGTCTTGACATTTAGAACGTACAGTGTTGACAACACAAATATATTGTGCTCATAACACATATATTAGACGCAGAAGCTATTTTGTTTTTGCTTTGTTTACAGAGCCTACGGCAGGGATGATAATTCAATACACCATTCCATGAAGAAAAAAAAACACCAATACAATAGTAAGCATTCTTTGCATCTATGATCCATTTAAGTGCAATGTCACATTTTGTTTAATCTTTAGAGTAAGTGATTTTAAAAAAAGTACTCAAAATTACCCCATTGCTTGACAGATATCACTGGATTAAGTGTACTTTACTAATGTCACGGTACAAATTATACTTATAATTAAGCATCTGTGTAACTGTATTTGATTTTAAATGTGTCTGTAAAGACACATCAATTTGTAATATTTTTATCTTTTAATTTATTATGCATTTATCTACAAGATATCATATAGCTTTCTTCCCTCAAAGCAATAGCTTCTTTTATTAAGGGTGTGTTTTCAATGCACTGTATTATTCTGTTGTAGTATCCATTCTTTAATAAAAGCCATTCATTTTTTTAAAGCAAATACCTTTGCATTGTTTATAAACTTCAGAAATGATAGTCTTATTTCTTTTGTTCTCCAACCATATGTATTTGATTTTAGATATGTCTGTAAATATTTTTATCTTTTAATTTATTATGCATTTATCTACAAGATATCATATAGCTTTCTTCCCTCAAAGCAATAGCTTCTTTTATTAAGGATGTGTTTTCAATGCACTGTATTATCCTGTTGTAGTATCCATTCTTTAATAAAAGCCATTCATTTTTTTTTAAAGCAAATACCTTTGCATTGTTTATAAACTTCAGAAATGATAGTCTTATTTCTTTTGTTCTCCAACCATAGATTATTGGGTTAAAACAACTTGGAAAAAATAAGTATAAGATACTTATGAATATACGGTTGTTGGAAGAAATGTTATTTCTTATTCTGTATGACAAAAATGCAATCAAAGCAGAAAACAAACTAATTGACAGGATAATTAAGTGAGTAATACAGGTGTTCAAGGCCTTTATGTGAGCTTTTCCAGATTTCAACACAGAGGTAAAAATCACAACATAAGAAACAGTAATAAGAATAAAATCGGCTGCTGGAATAAGGAAAGCAGACACAAGTCCTACAATATTATTAATAGATATATCTCCACATGCTAACTGAACCAATGCCATGTGTTCACAAAAACAGTGATCAATGACATTTGTTAAACAAAATGATAGTCTTCCAGCTAGAGAAACCATTGTGACCATCATAGAAACCATTTAATCTGAACTCAGTGAATGAGACATTTTGTGCAGAAAGATCCTTCATGCTGAAATCCCCTTTTGCGCAAAGAGTGTTCTGTTCAAACGAATGAAGTTGATGAAACTAAGAAGAAAAAACATGCTGATCAAGTTTCCATTTTAACCACACTATAATCAAGTTTTATACTGTAGCAACAAATATATCTATGCAGTGTGAGGCAAAATCATACTGATAATGCCATTAAAATTAGAAGTAAAAACATTTATGAGCCAGGAAATTAGGAAAATTCAATGATTATCCATTTATCCTCCAATCCTATCTACTAACATCATTCATTAATCAGTGCTCTCCCCATTACATTTATGAAAAGAGATCTTTCATATTTTTCCAGAGGAAATGAAAGCTTGACACATATCATGGTCTCTAAATACAGTGTCGCTTTCCCATGAGTCTGTGTGCAACTCCCATAGAGGAATGGAGCTCATCTCCTTTTTGCCGTATCCTAGGACTGCAGTTTCAGTGTTAGTGGTACTTGTTTTCTTCTAAATGTTCTAGTATTTTATGCCTAACAATCAAAATTCATCACATCACTTAATATATCTTATTGTAATGCGTATCTCCACTTAATTCAATTAATCTCTCTCTCCCTCTGTGCGCATGTGCGAGTGCGTGAGGTGGAACGCACCTCTTCGCGGCAGGCACCGTTAAAGACAAAAATATTTTATGTTTTTGTAAGCAGCAGCTGCGTTGGCTTTAAACAATTACTGAACAGATTATTAACAACCGATCACTGAACATTTCACTGAGCTCATGTCGGTGTTGAAAACATGATGATCATTTTAAATGTAACCCAGATAGCACAGGTACAGGTACGTCTGCAAGATGTCTGTTAAAGATTGCTTCATCTGGAAAGCATCTGCTGTGTGCAAACATCTGATAGATGTCTTTAAGATGTCAGTTTTACATTCTAAATCATAAACATCTTAAAGACATCTTCGAAACGTCTATTTGACATCTGATAGGAACGTCCTATAGACGTATTGCAGATGAGCAAACACTCAAAAAAATGCGTGTATGAGCCCGTTTCCCAGGTAAAAATACAATTACGTGTAAAATGTCATAATTAACTGTGTCTGACATGAAAAAAAAAAAGCCCTTTAATATGGGACGCGGCAAGCGGTGGAATCGCCACGTGGCTGCCGCTTATAGTGGAAGCATTTTGTGGACTGCAAACACCCTGCGGTCTCAGGGCGGACATCGCCATAGTTGCAAACAAGGTCACATTTGTACTTACTAAAAACTAAATAAAATAAAACGTAACAGAGATTTTGTATATGTGTTATTTGCTATTTATCATTTCATGAGAATATGAATAGCATAGTTTTCATGTCAGACACAGTTAATTATGACATTTTATACGTAATTGTATTTTTACCTGGGAAACCGACTCGTACACGCATGCTATTTCTTTATTTATATATCTGTAGAAGCACTTAAAAAAACCTTAGGAAGTAGTAAAAGAAAAAGAAGATACAGATGAAGTGTCAGATGATTCCTCTAATGATGCTAATGATTTGTCTGTTTTCTGTTATGGAGAAGCAGTATTTTCAGAAACGATAGGACATGAAGCAAGTGAAGAAAGTGGATATAGTCTAGAGTAAAAAATTTTTTTGAGTAGTACAAAAGGTAAAAGAAATGTGGTAGTAACGGATTTTTTCCCCCTGATTTCATTGATTTGGCTAAATTCTTGATAAAGCATTTTTACAAAATTGCACACAGAACAATTGTAAGATGGTAGAAAGTAAACCGTATACAATTAGATGCTGCTTGGCTGGTTTTAAGTTGTTGTTGTTGTTTTTTTTCTAATAACTACAGTAAATTTAAAGAGATAGCCTACAGTGGGTATAGAAAATAATCACCCCCCTTTAAAATAATCACATTTTGTTGCTTTGCAGCCAGAAGTGAAGACACAGTTTTTGTTTTACCAAGCTGTATTTACTCAGTGTAACTTATAACATCCAAGTGAAACATATAACATGTCAGGAAAAAAAGAAAAAAAAAAGAAGAATCACTTGCTGCGTCCCAATTCGCATACTATCCGTCCTAAATAGTATTCGAAAATAGAATTAGTATGTCCCAAATCATAGTATGTTTAAAAACGTATGCCAAACATTCCTGGAAGTGCAGATCGATGCACACTCTAACGGCTAATATTGCCCACAACACATTGAGCGGTGGACGAGGATTCGATTAGAACTACAAACACGCATAAAAAGTATTAAAAAAACTACAACAATGGCGGATATACGCGACCGACGGACAGGTAGAGAAAGGGATTTGAGTGATAATCAATATCTAACCTGATGAAAAATATTAATTGAATGTTATCCACGTTATATTTCATCTGTAGCAACACTGTGAACTTTTATAATGATACGTTTGGTCATTAACTTTTAAATGCATCATTATGCAAACATGATAGATAGATATCCTCGGCATTATAGACCCGCGACTAGCAGATCAACGTGCCTCTTCATTTCTCTCCAATACGGTAGGAAATCAAATTAAAGGAAATGTGGATGATGTTAACTGTGACAAGATGATTGACAGGGCAGTTTAAACTGACAGAATGCACATAAGCAACAGAGCATCCATTAAAGACACAGTTATGACGAAGTAGTATGTCCCAAAGCTTGCCTACTATGCTTCTACATACTCAAAAGTGTGTACTTTTTCTTCACAAAAAGAGTACACTTTTAGGGCATAGTATAAGTAGGCGAATTGGGACGCAGCAACTGAGTTGGAAAAAGGATCACACCCCTCCTAAAAATGACTTGTAAACTCAATCAGGTGTAGCTAATCACCTTCTCAATGGCACACAAAGCATTTGACTTTCAACTGTGATCAGCTGTGGTCATTTTGATGAGCTCAGCATGAAAATAGCTTTCCTGGAGCAATTCAGTCCTTGGTAGTGCAACTGAAGCAACCACTCAACTATGGGTGGCAAGGCACTGTCAAACTATAAAGTTGTGGACAGGCACAAGTCAGGAGATGATACAAAAACGTTTCAAATGCTTTATCAATACCTAGAAGCACAGATAAGTCTATTATTAAGAAGTGGAAGGTATTTGGTACAACACAGACCCTGTTTTTTTTTTTATAACGGGGGCGTGTTCGTGCGCTTGCGCGTGCCTCAAAAGAGGGCTTACAATCAGGGTGCGAACTACGGGGGAGCTAGGGGGAGCTCGGCTCCCCTTAATAAGACATGCACCCAGCCCTCCGAACATGATGAAGGGTCTTGTTATTAATGCACTTAATTTAAATTATAAAATAAATAATACATTTATGAAAGAGAGAAAGAAAAAACACAAGAGGGGACACGCATGTACAGTACATTTTTAAACAGAACATAAAACCCAATATTTTTCTAAATGGAGAGGATGCACAAACACTCACCATCAAATTTAACTGAACTGGAGCAGTTCTGCAAAGAAGAGTGGACAAATATTGCAAATTCTAGAAGTGCAAAGTTAGTAGAGACAAATCCCAACAGACTAAAGGCTGTAATTAAAGCAAAAGTGCAATACAGTGAATTACAATTTTCTATGGCCTTCCAGTGGTTTACATAACATCAGTGTTGACACATTTATTATATAAAAACTTATTTAACTAATCATTAATTTAATGATTAACAAAATCACCATCATTTTCTCATAACACATGTATCAAATGCAATTTGATTTTGCATTGTTTACAAAGCCTATAGAGGGCAGATTGAAGACATCCAATTCAGGCAATAGGATAAATTTCTACATGCTATTCCAATAAATTCTTATTAAAATGCTTACTGTACCACAAAATGTGACCATTATGTGCATCACAGATAGAATTAAAGCATACCATCTCCTTTGATTCTGTTTGTTGATAATATACACTGTAAAATAAATAAATATATTAAACTGTAAAAATACATGGCAGCACAGGGTGCCAAATATTTACCATTAATGGAAATAATGATTAAAGATAATAAAATTAAAAAAAACGGTTAATGACGGCAGAAGCAGCTGCCAAACAAAAACTGAGTTGTTAAAATTAAGGTAAAGTATCCTAATTTTTCTTAAATGTTTTGCAAAAAAAAAACAAACAACAACAAAACAAACAAAAAAAAAAACAGTGTCAGACCATAATAATTTAGGAAATAAATTAACAGTGTTGTCCGCTTATTTAAATAAGATTTAACTTTTACTTTAATTTTAAGGTTTTTGATTGACATCCTGTGCTGCCAGTCATTTGATAATTTTTTATCTTTTATTTTACAGTGAAAGTGTTTGATCATAATAATTCTGGAAATACCTGTAATATAACTAATATTTTCAGCTTATTTAAATAAGGAGATTTTACTTTAATGTTATGGTTTTTGTTTGGCAGCTGTTGCTGCCAGTTATTTGACTGTTTCAGAGATGGGACCAAGTCATTGTTTTGCAAGTCACAAGTAAGTCTCGAGTCTTTGCATTCAAGTAAGCTGTAAGATTCAAGTCCTAAACAAGTCATTAGTGCTTTTTGCCCAAATTAGTGTCTCAGTAT